TACTACTACTACTACTACTACTACTACTACTACTACTACTACTACTACTGTCTGTCCGTCGGCAGCATATTTATAGTACGCGGTTGTCCCACAGTGGCTGATGGAGTTCGGCCCAAAAGCCTATAGACTTTGAATATACTAATCTACACCGAGAACAGAAATTAATTTCTAATGAAATTAAAAAGGCGAATTTTCGAACTCGGTATGCAACCAAAAAAGCAAACGGGGATAGCTGTGGAATCCACCGATGAGCCGGATCCCTCACAGCTATGCCATGCGGCGGCAAAATATCGGCGAAACACGTGTCATAAGTCCAAGCATATGAATTTCAGAATGGGAGTGTTAAAACTAGCTAAAAAGCTACTAAGAAAAAAAAAATGAGTACGAGCGAGTCGAGGTTGGGTGCTTATCTGGATTTGGTGACGTACTGTCTTACTGAGTGCATTGGACACTTCGAATTTATTAACCCCCTTGAATGGTAAATGAGCTCACATTACGCAAGGCAATCAGTTAGCATCCACCATAAATTCACAAAAGCGTGTTGACTAGTGTGGACTGAAGTAAAAGTTAAGCTCGGGCTTAGTAGGGCAGAGTTTCACAAAATGTCCAGGTTTAAGGCATAAGAGGTGACTCGAAAAGCGTAGAAAATAGATGAATAGGCAAACAGGTATAAACTAACGACAGAAGAGGAAAGCCCTTTTAGAAACGATTAGACCAGTAAACCTTTGTTCTTAACGATTAGCAAATCCCTGTGACTCCACGTCCCCTTGTATCGACGGATCTAATCGAACCAACCAGTCATTGTTTGAGGCATTTAAGAAGCTTTTGAAGCCGGCCACGGAAGTTGGGGAACAAAAAATACAGATATTCTTATCTGTGAAAGGGAAGGGGACCATTCATACCCTTCTCCCTAATCTCGTATTTAGCTAAGCTCAAATATGTTGACATAGTTAAGTACAGGCCTGTATAAATGGAAATTAAATTGAATTAAACTCCTTATGAAAGGTAACAGAGAATCGTTTTAGTCTTATCGTCTTTATACAGGTCGCAGCGTTATGCCCTATTCATTCCTCAAAGTGATTTAAGATAATAAATACACTGGGAGAAAGTAGATTGGTATTTCGTCAAAATTTAACAAAAATGAATTCATAAGAAGGACGAGTGACTGCTTACTAGGTCTTCGTAGGCTTTCTGTCTTATTTCTTTCGCCTGCAATTTTGCTTGAAGGTATTGCATCTTCTCCATCCGAAGACCCTCAGACAGAGATCTAAACCCCGTATCGAGCATTATCTGTTTAAAAGGACATACCCGCAGGTTTGTGAAACGACGTTTCCGCGTTCGTCATCATCGTCTGCCATCCAGGGCTTCAGCGACTTCATCTCTGACAAAATAACGTCTTCCTCGGCCTTCTCGGCTGAGATAGCATGCTTTAACTCTATTTGAGCCTTCAAGTCCTGAAAGTAAGTTCTATTCATCTGGCGTCTCTGTTCATCATCGAGCTGGATTTTTCTCTTCCTACAGAAAACCATAAACAAGATGCATATCCCTTCGCCCGTTAATACGTCATTAATAAGATTATACCGTATACCATATAAATGTACAGGCCTGAAGAGAATTGATCGAAAGCAAACGTATGCTCTTCAATTTATCTTTTGAAACGTTCAAGGGGAATTTTCACTAATTTAAACAAGGACATAATGATTTTAGATTTTTTATGCTCGGGTGTGCTATTGACCCTCAAGAACTTGCACACGATAGTGCATTATTTGTTTGAATGCAAGCAGTATCCCTCTCATAAAGTTCACCGAGAATGACGAGAAGAACGTGCTGCAAAACTAGTGTTCACGACCAAAGGGATTGTCTGTTTCGTATATTTCCTCTCTGTACCAATCAACGCTACGTCTAAGTTTGTCAGGAATCGTACTATATCAATATATGCATCTCCGTTTGTATGCTAGTCAGCTGGAGGACGGCCGCACAGCCCGAGGGTCAAGGTCCGCCACATGAACTTCCAATCTGTAACCACTCAGTGTTCTTACCGTAGTGGCCAAAGTTCTGTCCGCGCCTATCCCCAGGTTGGGTGCCGAGTAGAAGGCAGGCCCTACTATAGGTATAGCGGCCTTCTGTGCAGAATGACTGTAGACTATGGCAGTTGAACGGGTTGCCAGTCAGACACAGTGCAGGCGTCTGGTCGTCGCTGGGTCAGGAAAGTAACGTCGTGCCCGCCTCAGCCGTAGAATCAATTGAGTGGAGACCATACAGAGTCTGGCAGTGTCAGTGATTGATTAGACGCGACCATAAAATGATACCTATTTGCGCA